CAGGGCCAACGCTCCCTCCAACAGCTCTAGAGGACCCTCTCGTGCCTCGCTGGCTGCTGGTGACTCTAGGTATTCCTCAGCTGGTGGCTGCATTACTCCCATTTCCGCCTTAATCTTCACATGGCCTCCTTCCCTGTGTCTCTGAACCTCTTCCGTCTCTTATAAAGACTCATGTCACTAGACTTAGGGCACACTCAAATAATCCAGGACTGATCTCATCTCTAGACACTTACTTATGTCTGCAAGACCCCTTTTCCAAATAAGGTCAGATTCGCAGGTTCTAGGACATGGACATATTTGGGGGAAGCACCATTCAATCTACCATACCTTCTATTCCTAGACTCTTCACTGGTTTTAATTTGAAAGAGTGTTGTGTTTTTGTCAAGTACAATTTTCTGTGTGAGATTATGATGTAGTCATTCATTCTAGTGATACGATTTGTTACACTGATGGATTGTTCAGATGAAAAACCAACCTTGCATTCCCAGCAGAAAGGCCACTTGGTCATGGTATATAGTCAATTCTCATTATGTGTTGCTGGATTCTATTTACTAGGACTTTGCTCCAGATTTTTATATCTAGAGCCAGGTGTGATGGTGCACACCTAATCCCAAATACTTGAAAGGTTAAGGTGGGAGAATCACAGGCCAGCCTGGGCGATTTAGCCAAACACTCTCAAAATTTAAAAAATGATTTTTTTAAAAAAGGCTGGTGATAGAGCTCTGTGGTAGTGCACCCCTAGATTCAATCCCTAATACCAAAAAATGTTTGATCAAAAAAAAGTTTATTAAGAATATTCGACTGCAGTTTTATTTTCATGTGATGTCTTTGTCTGATCCTAGTGTTGGGTAATATGGTAATTGATTTCATAGAATGTGTTGGGAAGCATTCCTTCCTCTTATTTGCAAGAGTTTATAATTGTTTTCGATTTTTCCCTAAATCTTTGAGAGAATTCAGCAGTGAACTCTAGGTGTTATCTCTCCCTGGTATGTGCATGTGTGTGTGCCTGAGTGCATAGGAAGTTTAATTACTAACGTATTCTCTTTTATTCTTAAAGGTCTATTCAGATTTTCTGTTACTCTTGAGTCACTTTATATCTTTCCAGGAATTTGTCCATTTCATCAAAGTTATCTGATTTTTCATCATACAGTTAATCCAAGTATTCCTCTATAATCTGTTTCTGAAACATCAGTTAAGTAGTGACATCCTCTTTTAACTCCTGACTTTAATTACTTGATTTTTCTCTTTTTTTCTTGATCATTCCAGCTAAAGTTTTGTCAATTTTGTTGATCTTCTTGGAATGGAACACCTTTTGACCCAGCTATTCCATTCCATGGTTTATACCCAAAGGACTTAAAATCAGCATACTACAGTGATGCAGCCACATCAATGTTTATAGCAGCTCAACTCACAATAGCTAAGCTATGGAAGCTATCCAGGCATCTTTAAGGGGCTCAGGCTCTGGCTCAGTGATAAAGCACTTTCCTAGCATGTGTGAGGCACTGGGTTCGATTCTCAGCACCACATATAAATAAACAAATAAAAATAAAGGTCCATACATCTACCTAGGCATCCTTCAACAGATGAATGGATAAAGAAAATATAGTGTATATACACAATGGAATATTACTCAGCCTTAAAGAAAAGTGAAATTATGGCATTTGCAGGTAAATGGATGGAACTGGAGAATATCATGCTAAACAAAATAAGACAATCCCCAAAAAAAACCAAAGCTCAAATGTTTTCTCTGGTATAAGGATGCTAATTCACAATGTGGGGGGAGGGGTGCTAGGGAAGACAGAGGTTCTTTGGATGCTAATTCACAATGTGGGGGGAGGGGTGCTAGGGAAGACAGAGGTTCTTTGGATGCTAATTCACAATGGGGAGGGAGGGGTGCTAGGGAAGATCGAGGTACATAAAGATAGGAAGGATAGTAGAAGGAATTGGACATTATTACCTATGTACATATATAATTATGTGACTGGGGCGATTCTCCATCATATACAACCAGAAGAATGAGAAGTTATACTCCATTTATGTATGATGTGTCAAAATGCATTCTACTGTCATATATAACTAATTAGACAAAAAAAAAATACCCAACTTTTGGTTTCATCAGCTCTCTCTGTTGTTTTCTATCCTCTGGGTTAAGTTTATCCAAACTTACTTTATGACCTAGTATGTGGTCTAAGCTGAAGAATGTTCCATGCACCCTTGAGAAGAATGTGCATTTTTGCCTTTTTGGAATAAAGTGTTCTTTAGATGTTTGTTAGGCCTGTTTGGTTTAGAGCATCGTTCACATCTTATTTTTATTTGTTGATCTTCTGCCTTGTTGTTCCATACGTTATTGAAAGTGAGGTATTGAAGACACGATGATTATTGTTGAATTGTCTATTTCTCCCTTCAGTCTTGGCATGTCTTTGGGCTCTGTTGTTAGGCCCATATATTTTTATAATTGTTATATCTTTTTGATGCACTGGGCTTCATTATTATAAATGTCCTCCTTTGCCTCTAGTAACAAGTTCTCTCTTTATGACTGTTCACATGGTATATTTTTTTTCCATCCCTTTGCTTAACATCTGTGCCCTTAACTCTAATCGACACAATCCCTATGTCCTCAGAGATCCGAAGCCCCTCTCTCTCTTATACACAAATGGATAGCGAAGGATCAGCAGACATTTGAAGCAAGCTCCCAACATGAAAGCAAGAGAACAAGAGATAGAGAAAAATAGACCCATGAAGAAGTGTATTTTTAAAAAGATGAAGAAGAAAGCCAGACAGAAGCTAAATGGGTGAATGAAAGCAAATTTTATTTGGAACTACTGCAATGGGGCAAAAAGACCCCAGCATGGAATTGTGCTCCCTTGTGAATAGAGCTGGGCTAAGAGGGTATTTATAGTCAGGAAGCAGGAGGGCAGGAGATGGAATATTGCTAAGATGAGACATCAAAACTAGGAAGAATTCTGGCTACCTCAACCTAACAGGATATTTGCTGAAGGTGATCAGATACCAAAAGTATGGAATGAGGAATTCTGGTCAGATTTGAGGGTGATCAAGTATCAAGAGCAAGGGATTCTTTTTTTTTTTTTTAATTTTTTATTGTTGGTTGTTCAAAACATTACATAGTTCTTGACATATCATATTTCACACTTTGATTCAAGTGGGTTATGAACTCCCATTTTTACCCCATATACAGATTGCAGAATCATATCAGTTACACATCCATTGATTTACATATTGCCATACTAGTGTCTGTTGTGTTCTGCTGCCTTTCCTATCCTCTACTATCCCCCCTCCCCACCCCTCCCTTCCCCTCTTCTCTCTCCACCCCCTCTACTGTCATTCATTTCTCCCCCTTGTATTATTTTTCCCTTTCCCCTCACTTCCTCTTGTATGTACTTTTGTATAACCCTGAGGGTCTCCTTCCATTTCCATGCAATTTCCCTTCTCTCTCCCTTTCCCTCCCACCTCTCAACCCTGTTTAATGTTAATCTTCTTCTCCTGCTCTTCGTCCCTACTCTGTTCTTAGTTACTCTCCTTATATCAAAGAAGACATTTGGCATTTGTTTTTTAGGGATTGGCTAGCTTCACTTAGCATAATCTGCTCTAATGCCATCCATTTCCCTGCAAATTCTATGATTTTGTCATTTTTTAATGCAGAGTAATACTCCATTGTGTATAAATGCCACATTTTTTTATCCATTCGTCTATTGAAGGGCATCTAGGTTGGTTCCACAGTCTTGCTATTGTGAATTGAGCTACTATGAACATCGATGTAGCAGTGTCCCTGTAGCATGCTCTTTTTAGGTCTTTAGGGAATAGACCGAGAAGGGGAATAGCTGGGTCAAATGGTGGCTCCATTCCCAGCTTTCCAAGAAATCTCCATACTGCTTTCCAAATTGGCTGCACCAATTTGCAGTCCCACCAGCAATGTACAAGTGTACCCTTTTCCCCACATCCTCGCCAGCACTTGTTGTTTGACTTCATAATGGCTGCCAATCTTACTGGAGTGAGATGGTATCTTAGGGTGGTTTTGATTTGCATTTCTCTGACTCAAGAGCAAGGGATTCTTGCTAAACTGATTTAGCAGGGTTCTTGGCTACAACTAGATTTGACAAGGAAATACAAGACGGGTTGAGGACACACTCCAGGAACCTGACTAAAGTTTGGTCAAGCAAAGAATCTTTGTTGAATCTATGATTGTTCAACAAACAGAAAAGCAGAGAGATTCAAGAAGATATTTCACTCATGAAATAAGAAATATAAGACATGAAGCAAGTTTGATGTTTGACAAAAAGCAGAACCAAAAAATAAGTCTCCGGGAATGTAAAACAAGATGATCCAAATAAAGTTTTCTAAACAATGGCCAAACTAGAGAGCCAGCCTCCATAGTCCACCAACAGACAAATGGCTAAAGAAAATGTGGTATATACACAATGGAATTTTATTCAACCATAAAGAAAAATGAAATTATGTCCCTTGCAAAGAAAAATGGATGGAACTTGGGATCATTATATTAAGCGAAATAAGTCCGATTCAGAAGGTCAAGGATAGAATGTTTTCTCTCATATGCAGAAGCTAGGGAGGAAAAAGGAAAAGAAAGATGGTGGTGAGAGGAACAAAAGCTAAGGGAGATCAGTAGAAAATAGGAAAGAGACCTTGTGGGTACAAGAGGGGAGGGAGGGGGAAGAGCTGTGGAATGACATTGGCCAAATTATATTGTTACATTGTGTGCATGTACTAATGTGCAACAACAGATCCCATCAATAGGTACAACTGTAGTGCACCAATAAAAAATGTGGAGGAAAAAAATTAAAAAGTTTTCCGTAAGAATTAGAAGATAGAATCAAGAAAATCCTCCACCAAATGAAACAAAGAAAATGTACAAAAAAATAGTCGAAAGGGAGACTACAGTGATTCATCTAAGAGATCTAACATTTGACTACGAGGAGTTCAAGAAACAGAAAGAAGAAAACTGTGGCTTCACCATGGAGGGTCACCTGACAGTCAAAGGGCAGGCAGTCCAGATGAAGGGAAGAGCAGGTGCCACGCAGAGGCCTGGAGAGCACCCGCTGCTTGAGGAGCCGCAGGCCAGACAGGATTCCTGGGAGGAAGGGCAGGGAGATATCAGAGGTAGATCCAGAAAGTTCTTGAATACCACAAGAAGGTGCTGGTTTTTTTCCTGCAATCTTAGGAAGACTTTTTATTTGTTTGAGAGAAAGAGTCTCACCACTTTGCCCAGGCTGACCTTGGACTTCTGGGTTCAAACCATCATGTCTTAGCCTCCTGGGTAGCTGAGATAACAGACCTGCACCACCCAGCCCAGCTTGTGAGGATTAAGATGATGAGCAACAAAGAAAGATTAGTCTAGACTCCAAACTGGAGAGGTTGACCTGTTCCAGTTACCTGTTGCTGTGTAACAAGTCACCACAAACTTGGTGCCTTTAAACTGTAGTCTTATTTTACTTGCAAATCTACAATTTGAACAGGTCTCAGTGGGGACAGTTGTCTATGTTCCAGGGGTACCAGTGGGGGAGGTTCAAAGACTGGGAGTGACTCCCTCGATGGCTTAGGGACTGGAATGACAAAACGCAGCCAGGGGTAGTTGCCCACATCTGTATTCCTAGCTACTCAGGAAGCTGAGGCTACCTTAAATCCAGGAGTTTGAGGCCTGCCTGGTCAACATAGGGAGACCCACACCCTCACCTCAAAACAAACAACACCAAAATGGCTGCTGAAGCTTCCACTCACATTCTCTCCAAGAAAAGTCAAAAAAAATGGCTTTGCCCAGATTCCAAGCAAATGTCTCACTGAACCTCATGATGTCCGTTTGGGCCACCCATACACATTCCTAAACCAATCTCTGGCCCAAGCAATTCAGTGCACCGATTGGCCCAGCCACGGTCACATGGTCTCCCTCCACAATTGAGCTGCAGAAGAGCTCCACTCTAGCATGGATTGGAAAAAGCAACGAGGCATCCCCAGATGTTAAGCAGAAGAGGAAAAGGGGGGACGCTGGGAAAGCAAGGGCCTGCTCCTCTGTCTCCTCTTTCCTCCTCTCCCCACTGCCCGCTCTTCCGTGGAAGGAAGCTCCCTGCTCTCATGTCTTGCTAGGTGGGAAGAATACTAATTCCTCTAACTGGAGAGCCCTGTACTCAGAAGAGCCATTTACACTCTGCTCAATACGACTGATGAAGCATAAACTAATTAATTCTCAGAGTGAGAGCATCCCTATCAGGTTTTTCCCAAATAGTAATGAATCATTACCAGCCAAAACCTTAACATCTGCTTACCCAATCAATCCACTGCTAGTCACATGTTATTAATGTCATCTGCACTGTTTCCCTAGTACCAGGCAGCCTGCATCCCCAGGCCCCAGAGTCTCATTAGTCTGAGCAGCCAATGGACCTCAGGCCTAGGAGAGGACGAGGGTTTTATTGTGAGCACAAGGGTGCAGCTTGTTGGGAGCCGGCTGTGGGCACAATGAGAGGAATGACCTATTTCCAACACACAGAATCAGAACATCTCAGAGCTCTTAAAGACAGATGGTCCTCCAACCTCCTCTTACACACCTCTGGTGACCGGGAGCTCATGACTTCACATGGCAGCACATTGTACTGTTCTGTACATCAGACTGTTAGGATTTTTCAGCCTGTGCCCAATTTTATCCAAATGTGAAGCAACCTTGGGGCTGGGGCTGTAGCTCAGTGGTGAGTGCTTGCCTGGCTTGTGGGAGGCCCTGGGTTCCATCCTCAGCACCACATACAGAAACATAAATAGAAAATAAAGGTATTGTGTCCATCTACAATTAAAAAAAAATTTAATGTGAGGCAACCTGAATGAATATATCTGACACAGGAAAAAAAAATAAAGTGAGGAGTATGATCAGCATTCAGAAAGGCACCAATCCTATTCTACAGAGCTACAAATTCAGTTTCCTTGTGGGCAAAAGAAAGAGGAAACCATGATCAGTTATAAATTCATGGCATCAGCAAATAGAAGCTATATGATGAGAGAGTTAGATACATACATGCATGTGTGCCTAGGTAAATAGACGCACAGTTCTATAATTTGGATATGATTTGAGTATGTCTCTCAAAGGTTCATATGCTGGGACCTTAGTCCGTACTGTGATGGGACTGAGAGTTGGTGGAAACTTTAAGTAGGGGCCTAGTGGGAGGTCCTTAGGTCATTGGGTGTATGCTCTCAGAAAGAGAATGCAAATTGTAATAAAAGTGACCCTGAGCCGAGTCACTCACTGGCTGTTTATTCTGAGGTGTGATCTCTTACTCCCGTTAGCATTCCCACTGTTCTGCCATTAGACCCTCACCTGAGGCTGAATCAGTGGGGTTACCCCATCTTGTACTTTGAACCTCTAGAAATGTAAGCTAAATAAACCTCTTTTGTTAATAAACTTATCCTGATAAGCTTATCCTGACTCAGGTACTTCATTATATGAATGAAAAATATACTGATACATATAGACACATAGATATATACCTACATAGATACAAAGACAGATACATAACAAAAAAAGTCAATGAAAAAATTGGCCTTGTTTTTGCATAGGCTGAGCTAAAATCCATCTCCTTATAATTTACATACACATATTCAATTCAACAGATGTTTAAGAAATCCCCAGGACTCTAGTCCAAAGACTTCCAATGTGCTTCTAGACAGAGCATCTTAATTTTCATGTGGGAATTCAAGCTTATCAATAGAAAGACTTTACTGGCTCAGGGAATCCATTTATGTAAAGTCAAAACCAAGAGCAAGAAGTGCTAACGTCTAGAGTTGAAGGTCAGGCTGATATCAGTGTGTCTTGTGGTTTTGTCATGTTATTTGTGTGTTTGTTGCCCTTTTGGCTGTGAACAGTGAGTTATTCTTGCAAATAAATAAATATTGATAGGTTCATATGCATAGTATACTTTGCACAAATTCTATGAGTGGTGTTCCTGAAAATAACAAGTTTTGGAAATCAAAAGAAATCCTTAAATTGGCAATTTTGACATGTGATTCTGAAAAGGGCTGTTAACCTTGCCAGGAAATCTCAAGGTCATATGATTCAAACTCTGCCCCAGTGGTGTTCATTGGTATTCTCCCATGTTTTAATGTCCACTATAGTACAATTCTACTCCACTAACTTAATATTTTTTACTTCTTAAAAAAAATTGTCTACAGAATAATGAGTAGAGAATGAAGAAAATGGGAATCTTAGGAGTAAACTATGACTCTGAGAATTATCAAGACTCCCATGGAATTCTGATTTTCTTGTTCCTGAATCCAAAGTCTAATACCATTATATTAAGATATTCCTGCTTTCTTTGTGGGGAGGAGAGGGGTGTATTGTAAATGGGATAGTTTTCCTTGTTTCTCTTACAGAGGATTTGTCACTAAAATACAGAAATGCCTTTGATTTATGGGTGTTAATTTAGTATCTTGTTACTTTGCTGAATTCATTTACTAGTTCTAGAAGTTTATAGCCTCTTCAACAAATGGTGCTGGGAAAACTGGAAATCCATATGCAACAAAATGGAATTAAACCCCTATCTCTCAGCATGCACAAAACTCAACTCAAAGTGGATCAAGGACCTAGGAATTAAACCAGAGACACTGTGCCTATTAGAAGAAAAAGTAGGCCCATATATCCATCTTATCAGATTAGGCTCCAACTTCCTTAATAAGACTCCTATAGTGCAAGAATTAAAATCAAGAATCAATAAATGGTATGGATTCAAACTAAAAAGCTTCTTCTCAGCAAAAAGAAAAACCAGTGAGGTGAATAGAGAGCCCACAGCTTGGGAGCAAATTTTTACCATGCCCACATCAGATAGAGTACTAATCTCTAGGGTATATAAAGAATTCAAAAAGCTAAACACCAAAAAAAAATAGTCCAATCAATAAATGGGCCAAGGAACTGAACAGACACCTCTCAGAAGATGATATACAATCAATCAACAAATATATGAAAAAATGTTCAACATCTCTAGCAATTAGAGAAATGCAAATCAAAACTACTCTAAGATTTCATCTCACTCCAGTCAGAATGACAACTATTAAGAATATAAACAACAATAAGTGTTGGCAAGGATGTGGAGAAAAAGGCACACTTACACATTGCTGGTGGGACTGCAAATTGGTGCAGCCAATCTGGAAAGCAGTATGGAAAATCCTTGGAAAACTGGAAATGGAACCACCATTTAACCCAGCTATCCCACTCCTCAGTCTATTCCCAAAAGACTTAAAAAGAGCATACTGCAGGGACACAGCCACATCAATGTTCATAGCAGCACAAGTCACAATAGCTAAACTGTGGAACCAAGCTAGATGCCCTTCAGTAGATGGATGGATGAAGAAAATGTGGTATATATACACAATGGAATATTATTCAGCAATAGAAGAGAATAAAATCATGGCACTTGCAGGAAAATGGATGGAGTTGGAGAATATAGTACTAAGTGAAGTTAGCCAATCCCAAAAAAACAAATGCCAAATGTTTTCTCTGATATAAGAGGCTGATTCATAGTGGGGTTGGGAGGGGGAACATGGGAGGAATAGACAAACTCTAGATAGGGAAGAGGGGAGGGAAGGGAAGGGAGGAGGCATGGGGGTAAAAAACGATGGTGGAATAAGATGGACATCATTACCCTAAGTACATGTATAAAGACACAAATGGTGTGAATATGCTTTATATACAGAGATATGAAAAATTGTGCTGTATATGTGAAATATAAATTGTAATGCATTCTTCTGTTATATATAACAAATTAGAATAAAAAATAAATT